TAGATTAAAGATGTCAGCCAGATTATGGTTCTCATGATGTTTATTAGATTAAAGATGTCAGCCAGATTATGGTTCTCATGATGTTTATTAGATTAAAGATGTCAGCCAGATTATGGTTCTCATGATGTTTATTAGATTAAAGATGTCAGCCAGATTATGGTTCTCATGATGTTTATTAGATTAAAGATGTCAGCCAGATTATGGTTCTCATGATGTTTATTAGATTAAAGATGTCAGCCAGATTATGGTTCTTATGATGTTTATTAGATTAAAGATGTCAGCCAGATTATGGTTCTCATGATGTTTATTAGATTAAAGATGTCAGCCAGATTATGGTTCTCATGATGTTTATTAGATTAAAGATTTCAGCCAGATTATGGTTCTCATGATGTTTATTAGATTAATGATGTCAGCCAGATTATGGTTCTCATGATGTTTATTAGATTAAAGATGTCAGCCAGATTATGGTTCTCATGATGTTTATTAGATTAATGATGTCAGCCAGATTATGGTTCTCATGATGTTTATTAGATTAAAGATGTCAGCCAGATTATGGTTTTCATGATGTTTATTAGATTAAAGATGTCAGCCAGATTATGGTTCTCATGATGTTTATTAGATTAAAGATGTCAGCCAGATTATGGTTCTCATGATGTTTATTAGATTAAAGATGTCAGCCAGATTATGGTTCTCATGATGTTTATTAGATTAAAGATGTCAGCCAGATTATGGTTCTCATGATGTTTATTAGATTAAAGATGTCAGCCAGATTATGGTTCTCATGATGTTTATTAGATTAAAGATGTCAGCCAGATTATGGTTCTCATGATGTTTATTAGATTAAAGATGTCAGCCAGATTATGGTTCTCATGATGTTTATTAGATTAAAGATGTCAGCCAGATTATGGTTCTAATGATGTTTGTTAGATTAAAGATGTCAGCCAGATTATGGTTCTCATGATGTTTGTTAGATTAAAGATGTCAGCCAGATTATGGTTCTCATGATGTTTATTAGATTAAAGATGTCAGCCAGATTATGGTTCTAATGATGTTTATTAGATTAAAGATGTCAGCCAGATTATGGTTCTCATGATGTTTATTAGATTAAAGATGTCAGCCAGATTATGGTTCTCATGATGTTTATTAGATTAAAGATGTCAGCCATATTATGGTTCTCATGATGTTTATTAGATTAAAGATGTCAGCCAGATTATGGTTCTCATGATGTTTGTTAGATTAAAGATGTCAGCCAGATTATGGTTCTCATGATGTTTATTAGATTAAAGATGTCAGCCAGATTATGGTTCTCATGATGTTTATTAGATTAAAGATGTCAGCCAGATTATGGTTCTCATGATGTTTGTTAGATTAAAGATGTCAGCCAGAGTATGGTTCTCATGATGTTTGTTAGATTAAAGATGTCAGCCAGATTATGGTTCTCATGATGTTTGTTAGATTAAAGATGTCAGCCAGATTATGGTTCTCATGATGTTTGTTAGATTAAAGATGTCAGCCAGATTATGGTTCTAATGATGTTTGTTAGATTAAAGATGTCAACCAGATTATGGTTCTCATGATGTTTGTTAGATTAAAGATGTCAGCCAGATTATGGTTCTCATGAAGTTTGTTAGATTAAAGATGTCAGCCAGATTATGGTTCTCATGATGTTTGATAGATTAAAGTTCTCAGCCAGATTATGGTTCTCATGATGTTTGTTACATTAAAGATGTCAGCCAGATTATGGTTCTAATGATGTTTGTTAGATTAAAGATGTCAGCCAGATTATGGTTCTCATGATGTTTGTTAGATTAAAGATGTCAGCCAGATTATGGTTCTAATGATGTTTGTTAGATTGAAGATGTCAGCCAGATTATGGTTCTCATGATGTTTGTTAGATTAAAGATGTCAGCCAGATTATGGTTCTCATGATGTTTGTTAGATTAAAGATGTCAGCCAGATTATGGTTCTCATGATGTTTGTTAGATTAAAGATGTCAGCCAGATTATGGTTCTCATGATGTTTGTTAGATTAAAGATGTCAGCCAGATTATGGTTCTAATGATGTTTGTTAGATTAAAGATGTCAGCCAGATTATGGTTCTCATGATGTTTGTTAGATTAAAGATGTCAGCCAGATTATGGTTCTCATGATGTTTATTAGATTAAAGATGTCAGCCAGATTATGGTTCTCATGATGTTTGTTAGATTAAAGATGTCAGCCAGATTATGGTTCTCATGATGTTTGTTAGATTAAAGATGTCAGTCAGATTATGGTTCTCATGATGTTTTGAGTCATCGCCCTCCCAAGAATAGGTTCCCAAACATTTTCATGGTATAACCACAAGAGCTACAGAAGTTTAACTGCACCGCCACACCTAGGACATAGAGGTTACACACCAGCGTTCCCGTTAACTAATTATAGTGTCTCCTCAAAATGACCAAAGTTTTAAGTTCAAAGACCTGAGTGCAAGGGAAACCGCGAAACATGTCAAAACAGTGAATATCAAATAAACCAGTCAATAGCAGACTATTATAAAATACAATTGTACAAAGACTTTAAAGCTATATGCCCGACTGCCAGGGTTTTAATTCTTCTCCTGTATCTTAAGGGCCCGCGATCAAGTATTGATCATTCTGGATCCCTTAGGCCCAAAAAAAGTGTTATGCATAGTCCTGTCAAGAAATTACACACTGCAACACGACTTAGTTTGTTATGGGTGAAAAAGTTCAGTTTCTAAACAGTTCAAGAAGCATTCAGATCCAAATTGTAACCCTTGGTTTATTTAATTCCTTCATCTGTGATATTTATTATAATCTATGATTATCATTCTCATCAATGTTGTCATAAGCAAACGTGAATAATCCTAGGAAATTTTAAAGTTTCAATTATTATTTTTGTTTTATTTAATTTTTTTTTTTTTAATTTAGCAAACTTAGGCATTTTCCAACCATTCATTTCTTGAAAGTCATCATTGTCATACCCATACACAATGTTATTGACAAATAACATGAGTGTGCATGTATCACGGGTTCGTATTGTAATTATGTAGTAAGGCTACTTGCAGACCTGTTTACTTACATGATTTTGGCGACAATTTACTTTTTTTTTTTGCGATTCTCCGTCCAGACCCGTTAGAAAAACAATTTTAAGAGACTTGGTGGAAAAAAATTCCGCCACCATTTAGGGGAGGGGAGGTTAGGTGCCGGAAGAAATAATGACGTCCCCAGCGTTGCAAGACTAGTGTGTTGTTACTAGGCTAAATATTAATACAGTGATATCTTGCAAGCTATTGATGAAAACACAAAGCATTAGTATCACGAAAACAGCGAAACATTGTGGTAATACTTTATAGCCTTATTAATAATATATCAATTGGCTCTAATAGAGCCACAATAATTATTGTAGGTAATTGTTCTAAGTAGTAATTATATTATAAAAGCAAAGGTGCTGGGTGACAGAGCGGTCTAAACCGTCTCAATCCAAGGGTCTATTTTGCATTAATTTCCACCCTCCCCTTTTTTCCAAATATTCTCCTACCATTCTAATTTTTTTAAAAAATAAAGAAATTTAAATTACTTTAAATTAAAATGTTAGAAACCAAAAAGTTAAATCATCCGGGGGCCACAGGAGGTAGAGTCTGATTGAAACTGGGCCGTATTCCACACAAAAAAAGCGATTAAATATTCACTAAAGTAAAACTTTTACAATCTGCTAAACCTTTATAAATAACAAATAAAAATATTAAGGGTTCTCAAGATGTGGGCTTCACTTACTTCCACCTACTCACTGACCTGGCAGCGCTTTTTTTACACAGCTGAGCAACTTTGGCTTGAGTGAGGAAGCAACTGAGACCCTCAATATAGCTTGAAGAGGCTCAACAGTAAGTTTGGCCCTAAACTTTGACTTGTTTAACTGGATAGTGGAAAAGAGCTTTTCACACAGATAGCTACTCACAAAAGTAATATGATCCGCTTGGAAAACCTGGAAATCTCAGGGGAAGTAGAGGGCAGTGCAAAAAAATATCCATTTTGTCTGTTTTTTCCATTCACCTCCTTGCACTGGGCATCTTGCACATTGTAGGAATCCGCAGAGGAAAAGAAAGAGAGGAAGGCAAAATAATACATGGAGACGTGAGCCAGAAGCAGACACGCAAAATATTTGATACATCTGGAAAAAACAGTTACTGGAAAGGAATGCACAGAACCGTGATGAATGGAGAATTCTTGTGCATGGCCTATGCCCCAGACTGGGAAAAAGGCACAAGAAGAAGAAAAGGATTTTGAAAGTGACCAAGGCTCATAAAGTATGCGTGATCGAATTTCAACACATCTAAACATTTCAGTTTCGTCTTCGGTTTTGGCCTAAAGTCTCTTCAAGCTTTCAGTTTCCGACGAAAGTCATTTTTTAACTTTCGGCCTAGTTTTGGTTTCGGTCAAAAGTCATCTTTTAACTTTCGGCCTAGTTTTGGTTTCGGTCAAAAGTCATCTTTTAACTTTCGCCTAGTTTCGGTTTCGGTCGAAATCAGAAAATCACTTTCGGTCGGTCTCTATCTTAGTGTCACTTGTGCTTAGCTTGTAGTTTCTGTATTGACGAATTGCAAGTCTTATATCGCATTACTGTCGGCCTATATGCACGAAATACCAAACTTACGTCACACAATATGCACCGAATGGTTTGGATCCAAGAGCAACCTATTCATATTTGGTTAACTTCCTTGTTGGCTGGCGAGACAATACACTGTGTGAATTAATTCAAACGACACAGCCGCACAACACAGCACGTAGGTGTATACAACAACTTCTGCCCGCGTCCCCAGATTTATGTGGACACATACAAATCACATTAGCCTCAGCTATTTACTGCGCTGTTTTAAAGGTCATTTGATTTAGCTTTATATAAGGCCAAATTAAACGTCACGAAGTAAAAATAAATAAAATTGAAACTCAGAAGAGACGGCGAGTTATTCTATGAGTCACGAGAGGGAGTTGAATGCAGACAAGATAAGCGTGCACCGTGCACAGTACCTTCTAGAATGTTGCTGAAAGAAACAGTGTTTCTTTTCCTGCTTCATCTATTTTTTATGGATGTGGTAAGTGGGATTTAGTTTTTACCATCACCGAATTGATAGAAAAAAAGTAACACGTGATTTTCGATTTGTACAAAACGTTGCGCGTTTAAATTCCATCAACTTGAAGATGATGGTTTTAAAATCAATTAAGTGTTGATATCAATTAAGTGACCAGACGTTGGCATTCACCTGTCCGTTCTTCGTAGCTCGGGGTGTAAGAGTGACCTACAAATCCGATACCTGAGTGGCAGTCTTGGCTAAAATTGTCATAGGGGACATTTCAATTCTGTTTTCCTCGTCTTTCCTTTGTGCTTTTAGCTATTTTGTTTTTATTTTTTTGGTACCCACTTGCCGTGTCTAAAAGAAATTCACCAGTTACTCATAAATTCAACAAACATCGCACACCTTGTAGTCAGATACTTGCATTCCATGGGAGCCACGTCTTAGTTTGACAAGCTAACAGTGTGACCTTTTGCTGTATAAGTACCTGCTTACCAAGTTGCTTTAATTATATACTTAGGGGTAAGTAGCCAGCGACGTAAGTCTAGTGTTAAATTCCAGTGGTTGGCATGCACACTCACTTGCTGCAGCTCTTGAAGGGAGAATGACCAAGATGAAGAGGAGTATCCAGCCTGGTTTTAGCCTTTCCGGGACAGAGCTTTTCGTAGTTAATGTGCCAAAAAGACGGAGCACTTTTTACGAGCTGGGCACTCGCAATGCAAAAAGAGACATGTATAAAAATATAAACTATTTCCTTTGGCTGCGGCTATTTGGACCCGGGTCCGAGAAGTGAGAGTTTGGGCTTATTAAAAAATATTTAAAAGTTATTGCAGGGTTTGTAAGACAAAATTATGTATCAAATGAAAGATTATTGAATGGATTATATTTTTGTAAACTTACTACTTCAGTTTAACTAAAATAAACTACAACAAATGATATCCGAATAGCATTCAGTAAAAATGGACCCGGACACTCAGCGCCGCTATTCGGACCCGGGTCCCTTATAGCCTTAATAACAGATAGGTGAAACTTGGCTTTATTGGAAACTGTCAGTATAATTTTGTAGAGATATATCTTGGTTGCGTTGTAATTATTTTATAAGATCAAAGGGTGATCAAGTGGTCTATTTTGCATGAATTTTGCATACCCCCCCCCCCGATCAAAATTTTCTCATACTATATTACTTTAAAAAGATCTATATTTTAACAAATATAAATACATTTTTAATTAAAATGGGGAAAGTTAAAGTTTTCATTAGATGTTTAAAAAAAAATTGATATTCACTATTTATCATTTTTTTTAGAATAAAAAGAATCTAAATATTGATACACCAACTATCATTTTTAGATGTATGCATAATGTATGCGTGAACGAATGTCAAAATATCTAAATCTTTTGGTTTCGGCTTCGGTTTAACCCGAGAGTCTCGTTAATCTTTTTTGGTTTCGGCTTCGGTTTCAGCCGAAATAAATAAAACATACTTTCGGTCGCTCTCTAATCTATATATCACTTACAGCCCATACAGTTCTTGTCTACCAATGAAACGGGATACGTATATATTATCTATATATCACAACCATAAAGTTTTATCCACGACTGACAGCTGATTACATTCCCTTACATGCCGACCTGCATCTTAATATTATTCTTGTAAAGATGCGATGTTGATTTTGCACGCCTTGTGTCACATTACGTGCACGTTTACCATTACAGAAGAGTGTACGTTTATATAAAACCGGCAATCTGTACACTGACGCATCCCTGACTATAGATAGTTTTAGGTAGATAAAAGGGAGAGGAGACAATCGGATAAGAGTGTTATTTAGTAGAGCAAAATCGTATAGGTAAAAGAAAGACATATTAGAGAAAGATAATAAGTTGCAGCTTTAAATGTAAGAAGGGTTTTCATCTGAATACCTTCATCCGTCAACTCAACAAACAAAACAAAGAAGAAAGAAACAACAAAACAACAACAGCAAAAAAAAAACAAAAAAAAAAAAAAATATACTAATATTAAAAAAAATAAAAAAAAAAAATTAAAAAAAAGGAACAAAGAAACAAATGGATGACAAGAATGAAATGAAAAAGTTAGTAGAATATAGTTAAGAGAATATTTTTAAACAAAAAAAAAAAAAAAAAAAAAAACAACAAAACAACAAAAACAAAAAAAAAACAAAAAAAAAAAAAAATATACTAATATTAAAAAAAATAAACAACAACAATTCAACACAAGGCACAAAGAAGCAAATGGATGACAAGCCTGAAATGAAAAAGTTAGTTGAATTTTGTTAAGAGGATATTTTTTAAATATAGAACTAATATAAAAATGGAGGGTAATAGAAGCTCACTAGAAATCATGTTATTGTCTAGAAGCTTATTGCAATTTGGAACCAAATTTGAATGCATTTATTCATTTACATTCATTTGAATTGTTGAATAAATAGACGAGAATAAAAAAAAAACTTAGAGTAAGTGGCTACGTCGGATTTCCTTCTGGAGGTGGAGTGTGAGCTGTGTTCGAAAAAGCCTCGGCTAGAACAGTAGTAACCGACTCCATCTGTTGGGCTGTGCCATATCAAATCTACTAACAAAGGACTCTCCCTACGCCCTGGCTTCACAAAGTCGAGCTTTGGTCACGAAGTCAGGAGGTGCGATGCTGTCTACGGGCAATACTGGCATGTAGGGTCCTTGTTTGCATAGCCCGTTTAAATAAGAGCTAGAAGTGCAATGTTAATTCCTGATTTTAGTCGGCGACCGCGCTTCCACCAGGGATCCGTTTTGCTTGTTTGTGGCATCTTGGTGTATACACCTCTGGCCTTCGTGCTTTTTGGCCACTGTCCGAACCACTATTTTCACCGAGATAAGTGAGTGTTGTTTTTGGCTGGGTCTGGGCAGCACAGTTTTTGCGTATTTCTCCGCTCATTTCACTGCCCTTCAGTGTTACGTGGCTTGCACTTTTACATTACTGCTTTCCTTCTAAAAAAGTTTCAATAGCTCTAACAACTTGTATGAGTTTTTTTGAAGTTCAAATATATATAACAATATATTTGATTCTACTGACTACATTTGGCACGAATACAATGAAATCTCCTTTTAGTTTAGCACCCCTTAGGTTGAGACCCTTCATTGTGAAACAATGAAAGAAAATATACTTGAGAAAATGAATCCTGATCGGGAAAATGATAAATTTTTGACAATTATTTGGTCACTTTGCATGTGGACAGTGAAGATAGAATTTTTTTTAAAAATATAGTTTACTTTTATAATTATCATTTTATAAATCTTAGATGTGAAAGCCACAATGAAAAATGAATCACGGAAAATAGTCAAGTACTGGAGAGGTGGGCTGAATATTTTGAGGACATACCGAATGAAGACAATAGACAAGAAGAAGATTATCAACTCCCACAGGGAGGACCAGACCCGTTTATACAATGCCAAACTCTAGAAGAAACCAAAGAGGTAATTAATTACATGACAAATCACAAAGCCCCGGGACAAGACCTTATCACAGCAGAACTGATTAAATATGGAGGACAAGAACTACACAATCAGAGACATAAACTTATAACTAAAATTTGGCGAGAAGAGAAAATCCCAACAGAATGAGAAACAGCATTAATGATCCCAATACACAAGAAAGGCTCCGAACTTCAGTGCACAAACTAAAGAGGAATCTCCCTATTAAATGTTACATACAAAATACTGACGAAGCTTATTGGCAAAAGACTTACACTGAAGAAATACTAGGTAATTACCAATGCGGATTCAGGCCTAACAGATCAACGACTGATCAGATTTTCACCATCAGATGCGTACTAGACAAATGCTATGAATATAATATACCAGTACATCAACTCTATGTGGACTTTAACATGGCCTATGACAGCATAAAAAGAAAATATCTAAATGAGACTCTGCAGGAGTTTGGGATACCCAGTAAACTGACAAGACTAATACAGGTAACACTAAAAAACTCAAAAAGCAAAATCAAGATTCAAGGAGAATATTCAATGGAATTTCAGATTAGACGAGGCCTAAGACAGGGATACTCACTGTCTTGTATGCTTTTTAGCCTAACATTAGAGACAGTTATGAGAAACATACACATTTCCACTCGAGGAACGATAACAGGATACTTGCTGAGGGAAATTCAAGACCCACAACCAATGGGCACACTCTACATCCAACCACTTCAGTATATTGCATATGCTGATGACATAGTACTGCCAGGGAAAAGTTATAAAGACATATCAAAATCCTTTATTGGATTAGAAGACGCATCACTACAAGCAGGGCTGGAAGTTAACAACCAAAAAACAAAATACATGAACACGATAAGAGAAGATCAAACAGATGAAGGAATTATAATTAGAAACCAGACTTTTGAATAAGTAAATCAATTCAAATACCTAGGATCTTTGTTAAATGAAAGAAACGAATTACTAACATAAATAAAAGAAAGAATATCAGCCGGAAACAGGGCATACTTCAGTTGTCAGAAAATACTCAAAAGTAAAAACATTACAAGAGAAAAAAAGAAAACTATTTATAAAACTGTAATCAGACCAGCTTGAAACATATTCAAGTGAAACTTGGACCCTAACAAAAACAGCAGAAAACCTTTTAAACTCATGGGAGAGGAAAGTTCTCAGGAAAATATATGGGCCAACAAAGGATGAATATGGATGGAGAATACGAACCAACCAGGAATTATACAGTCTATATCAGGATCCCACGATAGTGGCAAAAATAAAAAGAGGCAGGCTACGCTGGGCAGGACTCTTAGAGAGAATGCCAATAAATGAGGAAAAGGGCTCAAAGACAGACCTAGGCTTAGATGGATGGATGATGTGGAAGAAGATCTACAACAGCTGAAAGTCCAAGCATGGAAAAGAAAGCATTAGTTAGATCTGAGTGGAAAGAAGTGGTGAGGCAGGCCAAAGCCCTACATGGGCTGTAGCGCCATAGGGATGCATGGATGGACGTCTTAGATGAAATTATTTTTATTTACTATACGAAATGTTAATAATCTACCTTGATTAATGTAATCTATTTGTATGCCACAGGTGAACATGAGGGTTTGTTCAAATCGTCGTCGTCGATACGTTGATTCAAACTGCTGTCCAGGTGAGAGTTACGTTTCTTTCATTAAAAAATGTTTTTCATTTCTTTCAATTTTTTATCCATTTAAATTGCAATAAAAGACCAATAAATTAAGCTAGATATGGACGGAAGACGGAATTTTCTGGAATAAAACAAATGTTGCCCCACTATGTTATTTTCCAACTGCTAAAATAAAATTGCTTTAATATATCTTCGAAAAAATAAAACAAACAAACCTAGCGTATAAGTAACTGCATCAATGTTTGAAATTAATGCCCTCATTTTCCCACTAAAATAATACACTCAGATAGTAGTAAAAATCTTTGTGCTTTTTACATTTATTTAAATACCAGCTGATGCATACGACGGTGACTATGGATACCAATGTAATTCATTGTGCTTAAGGTGTAGCAATGGATTTCGGTGTGTGAATGGACGGTGTATCTGTCCGACAACACAAATTTATTTCTCTGGAAATTGCATTATAGGTAAATGTTCGTGTCGGTGTTAGTATCTTTAACCATGCATCAACCTACCTACCCGCCCACTTGCCTACCTGTCTGCTCTGATGTCTAGCTACCTACCCACATACATACCTAACTACCTATCTGCATACCTACCTAAAAATCAACCAACCAATCAACCTACCTACCTACCTACCTATCTACATACCTATCTACATACCAATCTATAGATCTACCTACCTACATACCTACCAACTTACTTTCCTACCTATCTACCAACCAACTTACTTACCTAGTTACCTAGTAATATATCTGCCTACCTATATATCTACTTATTTACATAGCTTCTATGCATCTACCAAATTACCTACCTATCTACCTACATTCATAATACCTACCTACTTACCTAACTACCTACTGACAACCATAATGTTTAAATAGAATGTTTCGTGGATTATGATAATAGAAATAATAACCATGAGCAGGCTATTTTAGGTATCAAACCTGGTATGCTCTTAAACCTGAAGGAAAATGTTTGACCGCCTTTTCAAGGACTCACATACTGTGCTCAGTATGCTTTGATTCAAGGTGACTTATAGGTTAGGTCCGGCTCAATAAAACTTGTTAACACTTCACCACGTCAAGGTGAGGTTTTGAAATAACATCTTACCGTCTTGGTCATTTAACTGCACACAACGTTTAGATTAACTTACATCCGTATGTGGAAAAAAAAAATTAAATGCAGACAAAAAGATATTTCAAATTGGATCTAGTTTTTAATCATTGTAGCACACTTTTGACTGATTCCTAATTCAAATGAAATCTTCATAACCATTCCATAACTTGCCAGTCTAATAGTCTCTCTAATAAAAAAAATCCGTTCTAAAACAGTCATATGTTTCTCTTCTGTTTGATCTCCACTATTTAAAGCTAAAGATTACGGAACAGCATGCACGGCAAGTGGAGAATGTAAGGATACTTTGACATGTGATGGTACTTGTAAATGTCTTTCCCATGAGTACTTTGACAGGACGTGTAAAAACAGTAAGTAAGAAAAACATTCTCCAACAAAGAGAGAGAGAGAGAGAGAGAGATAGAAAGAGAGAGAGGGGGGGAGGGAGAGAGAGATAAATAGAAAGAGCGACTAAGAGGATAAAGAGAGGGGTGGAAGAAAGAGAGGGATTAATAGAAAGAGTGAGAGCAAGAGAAAAGGAGATGTATAGATTGAAAGGGGAAGTGAGAGAGAAAGAGTGATATATGGAGAGATAATTTGAGAAATGGGGAGAGAGATATATGGAGAGATAAAGAGGGATAGATAGATAGAGCGATCTATATATCTATATATATTTATATATATATATATATATATATATATATATATATAAATAGAGAGAGGGAGAGAGAGAGAGAGAGAGAGAGAGATGAGGAGCGTGTGTTAACTCAAAAAAGTTTTCATATATAGAGAGAAAATATGAGAGAGGGGGAGAGAGATATATAGAGAGATAGAGAGAGATATATAGAGAGAGATATATATATATATATATATATATATATATATATATATATATATATATATATATATATAAATAGAGAGAGGGAGAGAGAGAGAGAGAGAGAGAGAGATGAGGAGCTTGTGTTAACTCAAAAAAGTTTTCATGATTGTCTTTTGAAGTTTTTCAAGAAGATTCCTTTTGAATTTGATATCTATAGTAACATTCTCCGCTGAATCCTACCGTCTCATTAATTGAATTTGATCATTATAGTAGGCTGATGCCTACAGTAACGTTACCTGCTAAACCCAACGGTCTCATTAATTGAAGCTGATGTCTAGAGTAACATTAACTGCTAAACCCAACTGTCTCATTAATTGAATCTGATGTTTACAGTAACATTACCTGCTAAACCCAACTGTCTCATTAATTGAAGGTGATGTTTACAGTAACATTACCTGCTAACCCAAACGGTCTCATTAATTGAGGCTGATGTTTATAGTAACATTGTCTGCTGAACACAACCGTATCATTAATTGTTTTTATAAAATTATATCAGTATATGGTACCGGCTAGTAATTATATTTTATTAATTCCTACATTATTTTAACAAAGTTCTATAATTATTATTTTTGTTACAGAACCGTCCATTGATGGCTCATGTGCAACAACAATTCCTTGTCGCAACAATTTAGTGTGTACAAATAGTCGATGTGTGTGTACTGCAACTCAATATTTTGATACTGATTTTGTTTGCAAAGCAAGTAGGTGTGATGTTTAAAGTTGCGTAGCTTAACTCAAAAATAGTACATGTATTAAACGTAGTAACAATAGAATGGGGTTGATTAATTTAGATCAAGCCCCACAAGTAAAGAAATTAGTTAGTTTAGATCCAGACCCACAAAGTAAAGAAATTAGTTAGTTTAGATCCAGATCCACAAATTGAAGAAATTAGTTAGTTTAGATCCAGACCCACAAAATAAAGAAATTAGTTAGTTTAGATCCAGACCCACAAAGTAAAGAAATTAGTTAGTTTAGATCCAGACCCACAAAGAAAAGAAATTAGTTTAGATCTAGGCCCACAAGTAAGTAAAATAGTTTAGACCTAGGCCGCAAGTAATAACCAAGAAATTGGTTAATTTAGATATTTTAAGTGGTGATTTCACGATCTGATAAATTTAGAATATAGTGGTTGCAGTCAGCAAGGCACAATATAAATGTCGAAAAATGTTTAAACATTGGCGACCATTCAATATTGAAAACAAATGATTACAATATCGTTTACAGCTTATTACATCTTTAATTTTTCAGCGAATGAAATTATCAAATCAAGAAATAGTTTTACAAAATTATATCTTGCAGGCCTACAATTTTTTTTAAATTGTTTTCATTCTAAATAATCAAGAATTTAGCTAGCGGCGTGATGGCATGGATGTGCTGCTTCATTGTTTTTGTTGTAAACTTAGTTTTATTGTTCTATCCCTAGTGAAGGCATATTTTTTAATTGAAAAATATTTTACTAATTTTTTATTGAAACTTAGTAGCCTGGAGTAATTCAAGATGAGGCAGGATTTTTTAAATTGTTATTATTTTCATCTCTCTGAAATAGAAATCAACTTCTTCCTGTCAATCCCTGTGTAGATATCCCTAAGCCAACCATAATTTTTTTTTTCTTGAAATATGAGCAAAAAAGCTATTAATTAAATTCAGTACAATTTTGTTGTATCATTCCAAGGAAAACAAAAATTTCATTTATTACAAATGTTTGAAAACTAGCTGTATAAAAATAAACATTGAAATATTGTTTGAAATAAAATCACATCACAGAATCATCGTATGGCGGCCAATGTTCAACAACAATTCTTTGTCTCAACGATTTAACGTGTATCAATAATCGTTGCAATTGTACGACCAATCAGTTTTTGGATAATGGTAATCTCTGCAAAAGCAGTAAGTGTTGTGTTTGAAAAGTATAATCTTGATAATCTCTGCAAAGTCATTAAGTGTTGTGTTTGAAACGTATAATCTTGATAGCCTCTTCAAATCCAGTAAATTTGTGATTAAATTTTCAATACCATGATCAAGTTTCTAATATTATTATCTTACTCTTTTCAAACTAAAAGGATATGCTTGAAATTAAATATTTAAAGTCAAATTTAACCACTCAATATCAGCACACATTTAATGATTTTCTTTATATTCCAATGGATCAAAATTAAATAAAAAATCTTATGTCATGCAGTTTTTTTTAGTTACAATATTTTTAATTGTATGACTGTAGAATGAAATCGAACATTGTTTAGTACAGAAACTTTAAAATTAACAGCAAGTAAGTTTTAGAAATAGTTTGTAAAAAATTATAATTCATCTGTACCTTTTAACAGCCAAACCGTACGGAACTGTTTGCATGTCAACGAGAGAATGCCAGAGCAGTTTGACATGTGATGGTACATGTACCTGTACTTCCTCTGAGTACTTTGACGGCACGTGTAAAACCAGTAAGTACTAAGTGATGATGTAGCACAAACTAAACTTCTCCACTTTCCACGATTAAACGTTTGTTGCAAGCTAAATATAATCAATTCAATCAATATTTATGTAGCATTTCAAGTACAGGATGTAATAAAAATCATTCATATTCATAAATCTGTATCATTTAAAGCATTACGAACAATAACTTGGCCAACTTTATTATACTAACAAATTAATGTTTGACTTTAACCAACATGTTAAAGGTAATCTACACGAGTCTGATTTTTTAAAGTAAAACATCAACAACATGGAAGCATTAGACCATATGCTTACAAAAATATTTTTTTAAAAATTAACAGAGGCAGTTAATTCAACTTAAGACTTTAGAGCAGCCCCTCTTTATTTTATAATAAAAATCAATATATGGCATGATTGGCGTTAAGATAGAGTCAATATATATTATTTTACATTTCATTTTTAAATCTCAAATACAGACAATTCATACACTTGCAATTTTAACATTATAAGCAAGAAAAATATATATAGCCTAAAAAAACATTACATTTTTTAGCAAATTGAATTATAGAATCGATGATAATAATTTTTAAACAAAATATTATGTATGCCAATTTTTGTCGTTATTTTCTGATTCTAAAAATATCAAGACATAATCTGTTGTCATGATTGCATGTCTGTGCTGCTAAATTGATTTTCTTGTAAAATAATTTTTATTGTTCTATTCTGAGGGAAGCTATATATTTTTTTTTTAATTGAGCAATTTTTTCTTCTTCTCCTTTTGTATCTTAGTAGCCCGGAGATATCAAAACCCTAATGGTTTTTTTTCCTTCTCATTCCCACATTTCTTAAATTGCAAGTAACTTGCTTCCTGTCAGTTTCTATATATATATTTTCCATATTTTACCCATGAAATATTAGCATTTTTCTTGAAAAAGAAGAAAATTTTTATTGGTTTTATTCAGTAGAATTTTCTTTTATTATTTAAAAAAAAAAAAAAAAAAAAAAAGTATGACTGCTTATTAAATATGGGTGTTAACTAGCTGTATAAAATTAAACATTTAAAATTGTATGCAACAAATATCACTTCACAGGATCATCGTATGGCGGCCCATGTTCTGCAACTATTCTTTGTCTCGACGATTTAATGTGTATCAATAATCGTTGCAATTGTACGATCAATCAGTTTTTGGATCTTGATAATCTCTGCAAAGCCAGTAAGTGTTGTGTTTGACTAGAAAAATCTTGCTAATATCTGTAAAGCCAGTCATTGTTATGTTGGAAATTTATAATCTTGATAATCTTGGTAAATCTAGTCAGTTTTGTGTTTAAAATGTATAATCTTGATAGTCTCTGCAAATCCAGTAAGCTTTATGTTTAAAATGACAATACCATCATCCTGTAAGATAGATAATAATAGTAGAAACTATTTTTCAAAATGAAAGGAAATTCTTATAATTAAATATTTTCAAGTCAAATCTAACAACCCACTATCAGCACACATTTAATGATTTTTCGTTATATTTAAATTTAAGAAAGATATTTAACGTTATTTGGTACAGAAACTTTAAAATCATCTTTTAGTAAGATTTTGAAATAGTTTGTAAAAATTTATAATTTATCTGTACCTTTTAACAGCCAAACCACACGGAACTGTGTGCATGTCAACGAGAGAATGTCAGAGCAGTTTGACATGTGAAGGTACATGTACCTGTACTTTCTCTGAGTACTTTGACGGCACGTGTAAAACCAGTAAGTACTAAGTGATAATGTAGCACAAACTAAACTTCTCCACTTTCCACGATTAAACGTTTGATGCAAGCTAAATATAATCAATTCAATCAATATTTATGCAGCATTTCAAGTACAGGATGTAATAAAAATCATTCATATTCATAAATCTGTTCTATTAAAATAATACAAAACATGGCTTGGATTAAACTTATTATACCAACAAATTAACGTAGGACTTCAACCAACATGTGAAAGCTAATCTACAGGACTCATTATATCTTAAAAACGAAAACAAAAACATGAAAGATGTTATCCATAGGTTTAAAGTCTTATTATTTACAATTAACTTGAAAGCAACTAATCTTTCTTTTACATAAAAATGTATATCTTGTATGAATGAAGTTTAGATTTTTACCCCCCAAAAAATTAAATTATATGTTATTTTAAACTGCTTCAATTATAGACGATACATGCATATAAATTTTTAACTTTATCAACAAAACAAACAAGCAAACAAAAAGAAAATAATAATAATATTGCTCAATACATGTTTACATTGTTTTAGAAAAAAATCAAATCGAGAAATAATTCAAATATATTATATTTGATAGGCATAAACTATTGTCATTGTTTTCATTCTAATAAAATAAAGGCTTTACCTAGCGTCATGATGGCATGGATGTGCTGCTAAGTTTCTTTTCTGGGAAACTTAGGTTTATTGTTCTACTCCCAGTGAAGCCATATTTTTTTAATGAGCACTACTTTTTCTTATTTTCCATTGTAACCTAGTATTCTGGAGACATTCAAAACACATAAGGGTATTTTATTCCCATGTATCTGAAATTGGAGCACCTGCTTCCTGTCAGTCACAGTATAGATTTCCCAAACTGTCAAATATTTTTTTTTTTTTTAAATACTGGGACAATGTTATCGATTATATTTAGGATAATTTTTACTTTAAAAATTCAGAAAAATCCAGTTATCTTTATTTATTAATAATGTTTCTAAAGTAGCTGTATAAAAAGGAACATTTAAAAATTGTATGCAATATTACCCCATCACAGGGTCATCGTATGGCGACACATGTTTCCGTAACAATTATTTGTCTGAACAATTTAACGTGTATAAATAGTCGTTGCCTTTGTACGGCTGATCAATTTTTGGATCTTGATAATCATTGCAAAGCCAGTAAGTGCTCTGCTTGAAATGTATTATTTTGATTATCTCTACAAAGATAGTAAATGTGCTTAAAATTTCAAAACAATCATCCAGTTTTTAAAATTATATCTTACTCTTTTCAAACTAAAAGGAAATGCTTTTAATTAAATATTTTAAAGGCACATTTAACCACTCAATATCAGCACACATTTATTGATTTTCTTTATATTCCAATGGATCAAAATTAAATAAAAAAATCTTATGTCATGCAGTTATTTAGTTACAACATTTTTAATTGTATGACTGTAAGAATGAAATCGAACATTGTTTAGTGCAGAAACTTTAAAATTAACAGCATGTAAGTTTTAGAAATAGTTTGTAAAAAATTCAAATTCATCTGTACCTTTTAACAGCCAAACCGTACGGAACTGTTTGCATGTCAACGAGAGAATGTCAGAGCAGTTTGACATGTGAAGGTACATGTACCTATACTTCCTCTGAGTACTTTGACGGCACGTGTAAAACCAGTAAGTACTAAGTGATAATGTAGCACAAACTAAACTTCTCCACTTTCCACGATTAAACGTTTGATGCAAGCTAAATATAATCAATTCAATCAATATTTATGTAGCATTTCAAGTACAGGATGTAATAAAAATCATTCATAATCATAATTTTGTATCATTAAAAGCATTACAAACAATTACTTGGCCAACCTTTATCATACTAACAAATTAAGGTTTGACATTAACCAACATGTTAAAGGAAATCTACTCTAGTCAGATTTTTTCAATTAAAACATCAACAACATGGAAGCACGAGACCATATGCTTACAATAATATTTTTTTTAAATTAACAGAGGCAGTTAATTCAACTTAAGAACATTATAACAGCACCTCTTTCTTTTATCATAAAATTAATATATGTCATGATTGGTGTTAAGATATATTCAAAACAAATTATGTTATATTTTATTCTTAAATCTCAAATATAGACAATTCATACACTTGCAATTTTAACATCATAAGCAAGAAAATAATAATATAGCCAAAAAAAAACCTTACATTTTTTATCAATTGGAATTATCGAATCGAGAATAAGAATTTTAAAAAATATTATGTATGTCAATTTTTTTTCGCTATTTTCTTTATCTAAAAAAAAAAAATCAAGACCTAAACTGGTGTCATGATGGCATGTCTGTGCTGCTAAATTGATTTCCTTGTAAACATATTTTTATTTTCTATTCTGAAAGAAGCTATATTTTTTGCAACTGAGCAATTATTTTCTCTTCTTTTCCTTTGTATTTTAGTATCCCAGAGATATTCAAAACCCAAAAGTTTTTTTCTTTCTTCTCATTCCCACCTTTCTTTAATTGGAAGCAACTTACTTCCTGTCAGTGCCTATACGTATTTTCCTAATATGACCAATTAAATTTTAGCTGTTGTCTTGAAAAAAAAAAAGAAAATCTTATTGATTATAGTCAGTAGAATTTTCTTTTATTATTAAACAAAATATAGAAAAAACATCACTATTTATCAAATATGTGTGTAAACTAGCTGTTTAAAATTAAACATTTAAAATTGTATGCAACAAATATTACATCACAGGATCATCGAATGGCAGCCCATGTTCAACAACAATTCTTTGTCTCAACGATTTAACGTGTATCAATAACCGTTGCAATTGTACGATCAATCAGTTTTTGGATCTTGATAATCTCTGCAAAGCCAGTAAGTGTTGTGTTTGACTAGTATAATCTTGCTAATATCTGTAAAGCAAGACAGTGTTGTGTTTGAAATGTATAATCTTGATAGTCTCTGCAAATCCAGTAAATTTTATGTTTAAAATGTCAATACCATCATCACATTTCTAATATTATTATCTTACTCTTTCGAAAATAAAAAGAAATTCTTATAATTAAATATTTTAAAGTCAAATCTAACAACCCACTATCAGCACACATTTAATGAATTTCTTCATATTCCAATTTAAGAAAGAAATCGTAAATTATTTAGTACAGAAGATTTTCAATTAATAGCAAGTAAGTTTTGGAAATAGATTGTAAAAATGCCATATTCATCTGTACCTTTTTAACAGCCAAACCACACGGAACTGTGTGCATGTCAACGAGAGAATGTCAGAGCAGTTTGACATGTGAAGGTACATGTACCTGTACTTCCTCTGAGTACTTTGACGGCACGTGTAAAACCAGTAAGTACTAAGTGATAATGTAGCACAAACTAAACTTCTCCACTTTCCACGGTTAAACGTTTGATGCAAGCTAAATATAATCAATTCAATCAATATTTATGTAGCATTTCAAGTACAGGATGTAACAAAAATCATTCTTTTTCATAAATCTGTTCTATTAAAAGAATAAAAAACATAGCTTGGATTAAAATAGTTATACCAACAAATTAACGTATGACTTCAACCAACATGTGAAAGCTAATCTACAGGACTCGTTATATATTAGAAACGAAAACAAAAACATGAAAGATGTTATCCATAGGTTTAAAGTCTGATTATTTACAATTAACTTGAAAGCAACTCTTCTTTCTTTTACATAAAAATGCATACCTTGTATGAATGGCGCATTTAGATTTTAAAAAAAATAATTAAATTATATTTAATTTTAAACTGCTTCAATTATAGACGATTTATGCATATACATTTCTAACATCATCAACCAAGCAAGCAAACAAACAAACAAAAAACAATAATAATATTGCTCAATACATGCTTACATTGCAAAAGAAAATCAAATCGAGAAATAGTTCAAATAAATTATATTTGATAGGCATAAACTATTGTCATTGTTTTCATTCTAATAAAATAAAGGCTTTACCTAGCGTCATGATGGCATGGATGTGCTGCTAAGTTTCTTTTCTGGGAAACTTAGGTTTATTGTTTTACGCCCAGTGAAGCTATATTTTTTTAAATTAGCATTACTTTTTCTTATTTTCCATTGTAACCTAGTATTCTGGAAAAATTCAAAACACAAAAGGGTATTTTATTCCCATGAATCTGAAATTGGAGCAACTGCTTCCTGTCAGTCACAGTATAGATTTCCCAAACTGTCAAATATTTATTATTTTTTTTTTTTAAATATGTGGACAATGTTATCGATTATATTTAGGGTAAATGTTTCGGTATAATTCAGAAACATCCATTTATCACTAATTATTAATTATGTTTCTAAAGTAGGTGTATAAAAATAACCATTTAAAAATTGTATGCAATATTACCCCATCACAGGGTCATCGTATGGCGACACATGTTTCCGCAACAATTATTTGTCTGAACAATTTAACGTGTATAAATAGTCGTTGCCTTTGTACGGCAAATCAATTTTTGGATCTTGATAATCATTGCAAAGCCAGTTAGTGTTCTGCTTGAAATGTATTATTTGATTATCTCTACAAAGATATTAAATGTGCTTAAAATATCAAACCAGTCATTCCAAGAATAAAAGTTTGATGAAAGTATAATCAATTCAACCAATACTTTGGGAGCACTCGAAGTACAGGGAGTTATACCCATTATTCATAATCATAAATCTTTATCTTTAAAACCATTACAAATATTTACTTGGCCTAAATTGATCTTGATAATCTCTGCAAAGCGTGTAAGTGTTGTGTTTGCAATTATAATCTTGATAATCTCTGAAAAGCCAGTTAATGTGCTTAAAATGTATAATCTTAATAATCTCTTTAAATCCAATTAGTGTTATCTTTGAAATGTATAATCTATACACTCTCTTAAAAGCCCATATGTTCCGTGCTTAAAATGTTAATACAAACAATTCGCTTTTTAATATTTTTTTAAATAAAAGAAAATGCGTTATATTTGAAGTTTTTAAAAATCAAATCTAACCACCTAAAAGCAGCATATTATTATTAAATTTCTTTTAAATCAAAATATATCACAATCAAATCAAAATTTTCCTGGTACCAATTATTAGTACATCGCTTTTAATTGTATGATTCTAAGAATGAATACGACGATTTTTACATTTTTTCCTCCAATGTCAGTTTCTATATAATAGTATAAGTATCTTCTATAAATAAGATTATGGAGAAAAAAAACATTCATTATAAAATGTTAAATCAAAATTAGCAGAAATTTAATGAACATGGGTTAAACACAAATCCGTGTATTACGTATATACGGATAAATGTACTTTGGGATAAAGATTGTTCTGCAAATGCGATGTTTAAATTGCGGGGCGCATACGGTTCTATAATACTGTTCCATAATTACACAGTAGTATAATTTTTTATTTACACAAATGCATGGTAGAAAGTTCCATATTTTTAGATGTTTTCTCGAACAGCCCTTTGTAAATAAGAATAAAAATGACAGATAGGCTTACTTGGCATGATATTAAACATCGTCTCTACGTAAAGTAGAATAGCTTAAAAAAATTTTGTTACACGATATTGTTAATTTGCATTCTAAGGCTTATAAAAGAGTATCGTTTAGAATTACTTTTGGCATAGTCCTTTGATGTGTATTTGGTGTGGATATATATATGATATTATATTTATTTTCTCCTATCCTTTAATCATTTGGTTTTTTTTTTCAAAATGAAAAAAAAAAATACAAAGGTTGATGTTTTTTGTTGCCTAAATATTTTTCATAATATTTAAAAAAAAAAAATATATTTTTTTTCTATTGTCATTGGAACTATATTTAATTTTATTTAAGGGGTAAATTTAAAAGGAAATTGTTTTGCTGACTCTCAATGTGCAAAGAACTTGACATGTATTGGTGGTAGATGTAACTGCAGGCCAGATGAGTACTTCAGCGTAACTTGTAAGACAAGTAAGGGAATAGTCATATTCTTTGTACAGAGTCAAATCTGATTTAATTAGAAACACATTGAAATACACGCTAGTGTTTTGTAAAATGTTCATGTAACATAATATGAACTTTCAAGCAAACAAACAAAATTTATTGAAATTTTATAAAAATACGCGAGTTTAATGTAAAAATTTGTTAATCTTTTTATTTCTGTTCTCTTAATTTATATATTTATTTTCATATTTTCACATCTAACCTTTTTCACGCAATCCGTTGATGTAAGAAATTTTGTAAAGACACATCCATACAGTGGCGTAGTTAAGATTAGCGCTGCCAAGAGTTTTGCCGCCCCTTTCCATGAAGAAACTCTACAGTTATCCGAAAATGACGTCACGCGTAATAGAGACAAAATATTCCGCCCTGGGCGAAAAGTGTATACTGTCTCGGGTAGCAGGGCGGAATGAACTCAGAATGTACTGCGGGAGAGGTAATACAAAGGGACAAGAACTCCTCCCCCTCCCACAGCCACCTGCGACCCCCTACAACCTCGCACGCTCCTGTCAATTATTGATGACAACTTGATTGACGTCTATATATATTTAGTGCTTAAGGAGGCTATATAAGATTATGTATTTATCCTTTTTGAACTCATGCTTATAAATGTCCCTTTAAATTTTTGATCTCAGGACTTGACTTTGGACGACCGTGCTTATTTGATTCTCACTGTGCTGAGACCTTGACCTGTATTGATGGTAGATGCAGTTGTAGAACAGATCAGTACTTCAACGTTACTTGTCAAACAGGTAAGGATGTCTTTGGTAAGGTCATTTTATAAGACTCTTACAAAATAATTAAAAGGTAACATTTAATTTGAGAACCGTTGGTTAACACTCTCACCATCTGCGCCACACACTGTACCGTGCAGCAACAGCAGGCACCTACGTAATTTGGGTGTACCTATTGCCATGTGGGGTCACGGAAATTGTTCCTAGCGAACCCGATAAACTTGTTGTTAGTGGAAAATTACGTCATATTTTTTTATGTTTTTTATTGTTTTAACTTGGCCTCTTTTCATGTGCAGAAGTTTCATTTTTGTTTGTTTGATGAGCCTGGTTGGTATAACATAGTTTTGTTGTATAGCATAGTTTTGCTGTATAGCATTGTGTATCTGAATAACATAGTTTTGATTTATAGCATAGTTTTGCTGTATAGCATTGTGTATCTGAATAACATAGTTTTGATTTATAGCATAGTTTTGCTGTATATCATAGTCTTTAGATTTGGTGAGTGAATACAGTTTATTGTGGAATAAATTTTTAAAAGAATGTTTTGAAAACAAATATAGAGTTATAATGTGTGAGTGCTTAATGGACTTATGACGCACAGAAAAATGTAACGGTACTTCATTACGCAGTTGAGGGTGGGAGGGGGCTGTGATTGATTTATTTATTAGTACAAACAAATATTACAAAAATTACTTTCATTTTAAATAGTTTTGTAGTAAATGTTTATACTCGTTTATGGCACCATGAAATACAGTTTATTATAGACTCCAAGAATAATAGTTTAAAATAAGCAAAGCTGAGTTGATTTAAAAAAAAAAAATCTAGCTGTGATCGTTCATGATGGAGGGGGTTGTTGCTCGAAATCGACTTTGGCCATTAAGTCATCCGGTAAGGGGTAGGGTGGGTTACGGTAAGTTCGTAGGTGGCTTGCTAGACAGATCCGTGCTCGGAATAATCTATGGCACCGCGGGCAGGGGATAGTTGCTGCAGGCGGTGATCTAATGTTACTCTTTCGGGGCCAGCCTGCGTGTCTCAGCTGTGGTTAACCTATTAGCTTCATGGGATTTAGCCCCCTTCTTGACATCTGCTCTCCACCTGGCTCTGTCCTGGGCTGTGTGCACCCATTAAGTAGGGTTGATGCTGAAGGCCTTTAGTGCCGCTTACAGTGAGTCTTTGCAACGCTCTTTTTTACCTCCCTGGGAGCGTTTGCCTATCGTGAGTAAAGGATCGAGCATCATGACGTGCCACCAACTTAAAAAAAAAATCTCCATACAACAAGAAACCAACAGAACAGCTGCCATCTTCGCACCCACCTACATACACAGACTAACCTTGAACACGATGACCAAAATAGTCATGCCATTTAAAAAGATCAAATAATAATCGGATGGAAGAGTAAGTCATAGCTTACAAGCGGGTGGAAGGGTAAGTCATAGCTGACTACAGGATGGAAAGGTAAGTCATAGCTGACAACCGGATGGAAGGGTAAGTCATAGCTTACAATCGGATGGAAGGGTAAGTCATAGCTGACAATCGGATGGAAGGGTAAGTCATAGCTCACAACCGGATGGAAGGGTAGTCATAGCTGACAACCGGATGGAAGGGTAAGTCATAGCTGACAACCGAATGGAAGAGTAAGTCATACTTGGGTAGTATGTCGAAGGCTGGAGGCAGGGGATTTTTAAGTAATTTTATAAAATTGTTGAGCTAAGAAAATAATTGGTCTAGAAGGCGAGGACAAGATGGGAAGGAATCGTCTTAAAAGTGGAAAGGATTTGAGGCAAGAGGTTAACTTTATAATTAATAGAGAAAAAAAATAAGATTAACCTTGAAACGTGGCAGTTAATGTCTGTGGTGGCAAGTTAAAATCAATTTTACTCTAAATAGTTACACAGTACAGGAAAAGAGGCGATACAATTTCTCAATATTCTTTCAAGTTTTATTTATTGTCAGAGTCACAGCGCGTTGAGTGGCGAAACACCAAATTGCATCGCCAAGTGTGTTGAATCCAACAATGGTTTAATACGTTAAAAGTGATAACGCATGTAAACAATTTGTCTTACTTTGCCTCTGATTTATATATGCAGACATTTACTTTACTCTTTACCTTGGCAAGAAACTAAACAAAAGTAGATCTGAGCTCACCCACCTACCTATTCACCCATCCGCAAAGCAGACGCCGCGAAGCAGACTCCGCGGAGCAGACTCCGCGAAGCAGATGCCGCGAAGCAGACTCCACGAAGCAGAAGCTGTATTCCATGATAATTTGAGCGACAGTGTAAATTCCACTCCGCCGAACCAGTATTAAGGCGCTCGTTCACTTACCCGTCATTTCCAGCCGTTCATCACGTGATCTCTGCGCTAGAAAGTCTTAAAACGTCACGCATTTATAAAAACAAAGAACGCCCGACACACAAGAATACGCTCCGCGAGATGGACATGCGAGTAGAGAGAATCTCTTTTAAAGGTAACAGGAACGAAAAATAAAAAAAAATTAAATTGTTATTAAGTATCTATGCTGGCTTTGAGCCTAAAGTCAAAATAATTATAGCCGGGCCAAAGAAGAACACGTTAATTCATGTATTGACAGCAAATGGGCATATATTTAAAAAAAAAAAAAAAAAAAAAAAAAAATAAACCAAAAAAAAAAAAAAAAAATTAAAAAAAATAAAAAAAAAAAAAAAAAAAAAAAAAAAGAAAATATTCAACCAACAACAAAGAAATAAAATTAAAGATACTTAAAAAAAAAAAAACTTAAAAAATAAACATCTGTTTCACCTGTCCTGTAATCATCAGACGATATTTCACTCTGCATTAAGGACGATGGGGAAATGAACTCTAAACACAACTGCTTGTGATATTTTAATGTTTGAGTACACAACCAACTTAACGACAATTGTTTATTTTAAATTACAGTATAGTTTATAGGATGGCTTTTCACGCAAAATGCGGTTGGCGATCTACGGTTATAGCACGTAGTACATTCCAAAATAAAGGGTAAATTATGTAAAAATCTATTTTAGCATATAAATTATCCTGTAAAATGCTTTTGCTTAGGGAGTTAAGCCGTATAAACAATTTGAAAGTGGTTGAACTGTATTATTTTTCTTGATTCTTCGGCTACACCACTTTTTAAAATTTTAAAATCATTTATATTGAATTCACTTTTGTTCGTTTGCACTGGCTCGATGGGAAAATCCTCGGACAGCTCATTGTCCCACTTAACGTCAACCTATCGAGCTGAAACTTGGCACAAATACTTTTTCCTGAATCCTATATTCCTGATTCCTTTATTCAAGATTCCTTTATACATTATTCCTTTATTCCTGATTCCTTTATTCCTGATTCCTTTATTCTTGATTCCTTTATTTTGAATAATTGTGGTTGGCCTTCATGCTGACCGGTAACATATGACACACATAGTAATTGTTATGTAGTTACAAATTTTGCAAATTTTTATTAAATTAATTTAGAAAAATATATTCAGGCAGCAATATAAACAGCTCTCATGATTGACTATGAAGGTTACATAAATTCCAGTATATATAGTATCATATGGCCTTGTACAGTGGTGTGTTTAGAAAAAAATAACTTTTAATGTCAATTCTGATTAAATCCAACATTTTCATACACGTCATCTTCCTGTTGCTGGTCACGTCTGTGTGCATTCTCTATTTCTTTGGTGTTCACATAGGTCCCTTCTTTCCATGACGCCATCACCGAATCCCGGATGCAATCGTAATCGCTTTCAGCTGGAGTAAAAAAAAAAACATTTTAAAAGAAAATCATCTCATTTCGTTTACTTTGACGTATGTAACATTGAAATAAAAAAAAAGTATGGTCGTGCTATTTAAAATAGATATGGTTGTGTTATTTAACAAAATATATGGTTGTGTTAAAATATTATATTGTATGGTTGTGTTATTTAAAAGTATATGGTAAAGCTATTTGAAATATATATATTGTTGTGTTAGTTAAAAAATATAGTGTTGTGTTTAAAAAAAAAAGATACACTGTGTTAATTAAAATATATATGGTTGTGTAAGATTTAAAAATTAAATTTTATGATCAGAATTTAGATTTAATTTAGTCAATAGCACGTGGCATATGTATTTGCATGTCATTAGGACGTAAAATGTTTTACATAAGTGCTGTTGATAAAAAAGGCAGTGAGGGACGATGGTGAGGCATACAAGTTACACGTGAATGCATCGTGTCTACAGCACCTTGATTGTCTCCGCTACAAGGAGCATCATTTTTCATGGTCCTGCCACCTGGATGGGTGCTTTTAATTGTTGTTCCGGTCATTGAGAGGTTCTCATTGTTCATGGTCCTGTACTCGTTCATGGTCCTGCCACCAGGATGGGTGCTTTTAGTGCTTGTTCCGGTCATTGAGATATGATCGTCACAAGTCTTGGTTATATTCGTATCTGTTTTACCTGTCCTGTAATCATTAAACAATCTTTCACTCTGCATTAATGACGTTGGGGAAATTAATTATAAACAAAATTGAATGCGATATTTGAATGTGTGAGTAATCTAACGACGCTGCCAGCAACTCACTAAGTAAGTTTTACATCAAAACGCAAAGCAACTGATACATCGGCAAATGACATATTTGAGTTTGAAGAAAGATTGGATACTTTGGTGGGGTAGTTTTGTTATCCAAAGCTGATTTTCACAATAATGTATAGACAAAACATAGCAATTGAACATTTAATTTTAACTCTACCAATTCAGTCTTAGGTCTGGTCTGATTGTACCTGTGTGGATTTCTCCTCCTGACAAATATCACTATAACAACAATAGCACCTGCAATGACAATGATTGAACCAGTAGTGACCCCAGCTATCAGAGGAGCTTTTGTCGTCTCGCCAGATTGTTCGATTGGGAAATCTATAATTTAAAAAAAAAGTCATTCAAATTTTTTAAAAATCTCCACAGTTACAGTGGACAGTTACAGTGGACAGTTACAGTGGACAGTTACAGTGGACAGTTACAGTGGACAGTTACAGTGGACAGTTACAGTGGACAGTTACAGTGGACAGTTAGAGTGGACAGTTAGAGTGGACAGTTACAGTGGACAGTTACAGTGGACAGTTACAGTGAACAGTTAGAGTGGACAGTTAGAGTGGACAGTTACAGTGGACAGTTACAGTGGACAGTTACAGTGGACAGTTACAGTGGACACTTACATATAAATGAGAGCAACATTCACGGGCTCTTAATTCATTTATTCTATCATCAGAATTTAAACTTGGGATTTTAAAAATGAATATTAAAATACACTTCAGAATATCACGAGCACAAAGGAATACCTGAATGAGAATTTGCAGAGTGGGGCTTTAGAAGATGGCTGCAATAAGTAAGTCATTTCGAAAAAAAAAATCAATCAAAAGAAGTGAGCAAAACTAAAATATCCTGGACAATATTTACCTCTATTTCTTCTGCTGTATTTCAAATTTTACTGGAGTCTACGTATGCAATGTTAGAATGAACTCTATCCATCTTGCTTACAATATCATTGTTTTGTTTCAAAACGTTTTGTTTTTAACGTTTCCAGGTTAAACGAATTGCTACAAAAATACACACACGCCCACGCTTTCACTGGATTAATGTAGCAGTTGTAGAAGTGTTTTACAATAATTGTTAGGCAGGAGATATATTTTCAATAGCTTGTATTTATTTATTTCCTGACACAATCTATCCTGTTGTTGTCACCGCCTCCATCAAGACGGGCGGATATTTAAAAAGAAATTATCGTTAACATACCGATTAAAGTGCCAGCTGGTCCCGTTTTGAAACATCCCGATGTCACGTGACTAGCATCACCGCGTTTGTTGTATGCAGTTATGGTGTAGTTGTAGTGTGTATCAGCCGAGAGGTTTGCTACAGTCACCTCTGGAATCAAAACCTCGTACAAAGTGTCACCGAGAGTCAACCTGTAACCTGCCACCCTCCCTTCAGAGGGATGGAATCTCAAAACGTGAGAACTGCTGGTCAAGCTGCTGATACTTTCAATGATTTCCCCAGGTGGCGCTGGAACTAGAGAAAGGTGTCATTACTCTTTAACATTAGCTGCCTATTTTCAGGTGTATGGTACATTTATTTAGTGCTAATGCGAGCTGAGGGGATCAGTCAAAGCAGAATTGACTCATAAAGTTTTGGATTGTCAATAACTTTCTGAAATATCGCAATAGGAAGCTCATTGCCGTGAGATGATGAATGAAGTTTTCTTAAATTCAATTAAATTATGATTTGAATAATATTAATATCAAGTGCCGGCATTACAGCGAACAAAACTAACAAATAGTTAAAAAGCAATAATCAAATCACTATCAGCAATTCCTAAATTCTTATGTTAAGAGTGACTTCCAATTCCTTGTAATCTGCTCCGACAACGGTTTGACAATGGTTTAAAATAGGGCTGAGCCGGCATGGGCGCCCGCAGGTAAGGGCAAGGGGGGGGGACTTGACGCCCCCCCCCCTGGATTGATTGGATAAAATTTTTAGACAAAAATAGACCCAAAATTTATTAAAGTAAAGAGAAAATAAAGAGAAAGTAACTAAGCTGATGTCCTGTCCGTTCGTTCACCATACGAATACGCTACAGTAAATTAAAACTACATTAAAACATTACTAAAAAAATTTTGCGCCCCCCCCCCTTAGAAAGTTTTCTGCGGGCGCCCATGTGAGCCGGTGCTGTTTTCTTACATCCGATCCAAGTCTGGGAATTTTGAGACCATACAAGGTGGGTCCGAGTCGGGTGATTAAAAGACAGAGTTATCTTCTCATTGCTATAATTTTTATCACACATTCGGCAGAAAAGTGCAAGACGCTGTTGAGTACGAGCACTTAGAAATAATACACACACACACAAACTTTGGCTACTCATTTGGCCCACCATCGTCCAGTCAGCAAGGAAATACAATATTAATTGCAAATAGTAAGTGCCATGGTCATAACCAAAGCTATACATCTTGCCAAGACAAATAGTTAGACACAATTTTAAGCAAGTGCATTATTATTTTCAGAGCGTTTCACTTAGCTTACATTTAGTTTCGAAGCTTGCATTTAGTTTCATTTAGCTTATATTTAGTTTCGTTTAGCTTACATTTAGTTTCTCTTAGCTTGCATTTAGTTTCGTTTAGCTTACATTTAGGTTCTCTTAGCTTGCATTTAGTTTCGTTTAGCTTACATTTAGTTTCATTTAGCTTATATTTAGTTTCGTTTAGCTTACATTTAGTTTCTCTTAGCTTGCATTTAGTTTCGTTTAGCTTATATTTAGTTTCATTTAGCTTATATTTAGTTTCGTTTAGCTTACATTTAGTTTCTCTTAGCTTGCATTTAGTTTCGTTTAGCTTATATTTAGTTTCATTTAGCTTACATTTAGTTTCTCTTAGCTTGCATTTAGTTTCGTTTAGCTTATATTTAGTTTCGTTTAGCTTATATTTAGTTTCTCTTAGCTTGCATTTAGTTTCACTTGGCTTACATTTATTTTCGCTTAGCTTACATTTAGTTTCACTTCGCTTACATTTAGTTTCTCTTAGCTTGCATTTAGTTTCACTTGGCTTACATTTATTTTCGTTTAGCTTACATTTAGTTTCACACCAACCACTGTCACGCTTACTATTATTATGTATTTAATTCAGGTAAAGTGTATATAAAAAATTTTTTCCCCGGGGTCCGAGTATGTGCCGGGTGTCTTGATACTCGGCATTTTCGGGTATTCCTGTCAGTACCCGGCTCAGCCCTAATAGAAAAAAAAAGGATTAACCAACATAAAATGTAAGTTTATCTATACATATTTGTTACTACAGTTAAAGTGGTGTACACTAAGTTATCTTTACATACTTGTTACTACAGTAAAGTTGGTGTACACTGTAGTTTTACTGTAGAAGCTATTTGCCCCTAGTGTAGTGACCACGGTGAAGACATACTCCTGCCCAGGGGTCAGCCCGTGCACGTGTACTCCGTTGTTGGATGCCGGCATTTCTCCCAAATCCCCACTGTCATCTGTGGCCGACCAAGTTATCTTATACGTTGTAGGATATCTGCTGGAACTCCCAGTGGTCCAGGTGAATAGTGTATCGTTGGTTGTAATTTGAGGATGCCTGGATAAACGAACGTTGAGCTCCGAATCTGATGAAGTCAACATCAGCTTGATGTGAAAACGTGACGTGTCATAGCAGCATAAATGAACGGATAAATAAAGAAGAAACAGGCGTCAGAGAAGACGCCCATTAATTGTTTTGTATTTCAACCGAAAGGTCAATCTGACCTAATCAAAGCGTAACATTACGATTCAATAATAAAACCCAGCTATTGAAATGTAATGATTGTTACAAAAAAAAGTTTTAAATTTTAAAAAAAAATTCGTCACTATTTTTAAAGTTCGTTCATAAAAATTGTACGTTGTTTGACTGGGGATTCATCCCATGTTAAATACAAACAGTTAAGACATAAACTTAAAATCGTATACATCTACTTCAACAAAATATCACATCAAAGAATTAAATCCCTTGTTCATCGCCATGACAAAGTTGGCAATAATGCAAATAAGCTCTTATTACTGATTTAGGGAAGGACTTTATGTCATTAAAATAAACGGTGAAAAGTGTCTTTTTATGGAGCAAGATTTGCTTTTTTTTTTTTTTTTTAAAAGAAGACTAACTTGGTGCACATTGGGTCCATGTGCTGTACATTCCTGGCATGCACAGACACCTTGTTACATTCAAGTTGTCGAGCCTACATTCAAGGTGGGGCTTTTTGCACATGTTTCGTACTGAAGGGTTGCAAGGACTCGGGTCTCCGAGAGCTTCAGAAGAGAAAAGAAACTGTTTACAGTTACCCATCAGTTAAAACCAGATGAAATTAATTTGCATGCATCACAAAAATGTACCCGATTTTTAGCGGAGATTTTATTTCTTTTGTTATGAGTGACGATAGAAAACCTACATAATTTTCATAGATTACTTTTTTTTTAAAATTTAAATAGCTATATCAAACACACACACACACTAGAATTAATAGGCACGCGAAATTGCCCACACAGAAACGCCATCTATGCCCAAAGCCATACTACAGCTTCACCAATTCTAGTAAAGTGAAAATGTGCTTCTAACTTTACACTGAAACGAAAACGTATCTTTCAACGTGTGACTGCCACAAATGTACAAGAGGCCGTAAGATTTTGAAATGTCTTGGCCTCTCTCGACAGTGCTCAAGTGCCGACATCAGTGCTTTTTAAACAGTTCATGTTAGGGACACACTTTAAGGACACATATCTTTTCGCGAAACAGGAAGTCAGATTTACCAGTATACCAGGTGGCCTGAACCAATCAATTTAAAAACATATGGACTCAAGCTTTAAGTATTGTAGCGCAATGCATGATGACTCAACATATCTCCTGAAATATTTCATCTATATTTTGAATTTAATTTTGAATCGCATAACAAAAGCTACATTACTTTCTTCCTACCTCATATTTCACTTTTATCTTCTTCTTATGTACGTGATAAGTTCACTACTCCGTGGTTTTTCCGTTCCCAAGACACAAATTCTATTCCCTTCCCAAGACACACATTCTAATTCCCTTCCCAAGACACACATTCTAATTCCCTTCCCAAGACACACATTATAATTCACCTTCCCAAAAAACACATTCTAATTCCCTTCCCAATACACACATTCTAATTCCCTTCCCAAGACACACATTCTAATTCACCTTCCCAAGACACACATTCTAATTCCCTTCCCAAGACACACATTCTAATTCACCTTCCCAAGACATACATTCTAATTCCATTTCCCAAGACATACATTCTAATTCCCTTCCCAAGACACACATTCTAATTCACCTTCCCAAGACACTCTTCTACAAATAAAGAAACGAGGAATGGAATACATATTTATCCTTTAACTTTATCAACATATCAGAGGCGGTTAGATCTTGTCTTATTTGGACACAACAAGAAACCCCCCTCCTCCAAAAACAACAACAACAACAACAACAACAACAACAACAACAACAACAACAACAATAACAACACAATTTTTAAAAAGACAACACATTTTGGGAATTATTTTCAAAGGATGGTGTGTTTAAATCAGTTTTAAAATACCACTCAGATTTGTTCATTAGAGGGTTAAGTTGGCGCGCTACATTGACACTAAAAAGACTGAAGTCCTGGGTAAAACCGATTATGTTTACTTGGGCAAAGTTAGTTGCGTCGCACATGTTGGATGTTGTTAGTTTAGTCAATTTACTTCCGGGTATATTGTTTGTGGAGCTGAGCAGATATTTTCCGTCGCTTTACCTCAACGTAGCTAGTTAAGATATATTTGTTTGAGGTGGTAAAATGCCCCGAGGAGAATTGGTTCATAAATTTTAATGACCTTGGTGGAGTTACGCGTAAAGGCTCAGCACTATTTGATATGGCTTTGACAAACTATTGCGTTCTCAAAAAAATTTAATAAACTTCTTGAGAACTATTATTGAACTAAATCAAATTTTTTACGTCTTGAAATTATTCAGCAGAAAAAAAATATTTTAGTTACAACTCGGTCAATGACATTTTTAAATATTTATTTATGCAGCACATCGTAACCAGGCATAACAAACAGACTTGACATTATAAATATGTCTTCTTATTTACTCATTAATAAATCATAAAAATACAATTAGCTTATACGTTTTTCTTGTAACTGTTAGATATTCTTTACTGCACTGTGGTACTTTATAACATTTTAATAATCTGCACTATAGTACTTTATTAAGTTTGTCTACTAAGTTTACCCTAAGTAAACTAAGCCACAATCAACACAATCAACTCCTTATGAAGGTGACTGATACCTTCGTTGCACGTATATGTTGTGTGGTTGTAGTAAAATTTATCTGGACACACGCACAGTCCGTACTGGCAGACGGGACTCAGGTTGCATTGAGTAGTGGTGTCACAGTGCTGTGCTGGGGGCCGTGCTTAAAAGGACAAGTGGGAAATATTATTATTTTTTTACATACTTACAATTATTTGAAATATTCTTATTTTTGGATTGTTAACAATTTTGCAAAAAAAATAAGATGTACTTTAATTGACCCCGTCTACATTGCAGCAGGTAATTAAAAGATCTCATATTTAGTGAATTGGTTTATTAGTTCTTTGAAGCATCAAGTATTCTTCCTCAGTTCAAATATGTAATATCACTAGAATATTTTAAAGTCTTAGTTATAGGAAACAGTTTGCCAAAAAGATGACTTAATTTGAATTTTTTCAAATTCATTTTTTTAATAAAAAATTTATTTTTGATGGACGCGACTCAACGCTGATATTGTTAATGAGAGTCACTCAGGGTTTTTGGAAAATGTACTTAATTAAGTTTCAAGAATGAAGAGCGGAAATATGATTCACTTGTTTAGTTTGCAGAATGAAGTGCGGAAATATGATTCACTTGTTTAGTTTGCAGAATGAAGTGCGGAAATATGATTCACTTGTTTAGTTTGCAGAATGAAGTGCGGAAATATGATTCACTTGTTTAGTTTGCAGAATGAAGTGCGGAAATATGATTCACTTGTTTAGTTTGCAGAATGAAGTGCGGAAATATGATTCACTTGTTTAGTTTGCAGAATGAAGTGCGGAAATATGATTCACTTGTTTAGTTTGCAGAATAAAGTGCGGAAATATGATTCACTTGTTTAGTTTGCAGAATGAAGAGCGGAAATATGAGTGAGTTAAAGATTGAACCTATGTGTCGTCGTATCTTACCGATTGTTAGGAAAGTTCCACGGAAGCCCTTACGATGAGTTGTTCCGTCGGTTTGAAAGTGAAGATGTAAGGCATTAGAGGTGGAGACTACCACGGATGGGGTTGGCGGGTAGGTGCAGTATGTACCGAGAAGGTCTGCCTCTCTGTTGGGACCGTCGTAAATTTTCAGGTGGTCGTGATTGCAGAACGCATCAGCTTCGTACAGTTCGATATTCAATATTCTGAAAACAAAGACAATTTTAAGTGAACATAAAAACTCAAAATTTATTATGCAAATTTAACAAGAATGTAGCATCATATTTTTGATATCGATTCTACGAGCTCGCCTTGCTTTCATTGGCTACCGTAATGGGCTGCATACAAATGGAGAAAAAGTACGTTCATCGCACCCCTCCCCAGCGCAACAGAAAAAAAATAATAAAAAAAAAATAAATAAATATAAATTATTAATAATTTGAAACCATTTTCTATCTAATGTGTCGGGTGTTCCTAACAGGCGTCGGACTCATAGTCATGTGCCTAACTTGTCCCTAAGTTAATCTGACACTGATGAGTGTTATGCAAATCCAGTCCAAATCCTTTCCAGTTGTGCATGTCTTATTTCAACACGAGTGGTTAGTGACATAATTACCATGCAAATTATAGATTGGAAGATCGTGCACAGTGATACTCGAATAGGTCTGTAGACAATTACTCTTGAAACATGCACATACACACAAGGATTAAAAGAGAGAATACACACCAACTTGTATTTAGACGCATGATTAAGCGTGAGAATAAACACAAATATACAAGTTACCTGAAAAATATCAGTCTGTCAGTATCAGCAATGATCGTCCAAGTGCAGTTTAAGAATGGACTGTATTGGTAGGGATATCCAGGGCTCACGATGTCACCGGATGGTTCTGTCAGTTTTGTTCGGCAATCTATGATATAATCTATTGATTTATTTGCAATATATTCTGAATGTTTCTTATCTTGTATAATTATTATTGACTGTGACATTTATTTTTTTTAAAATCACAAATTATCGTGTGTCTGTGTGTGGTGTGCAACAATATGTTGTAACAAGCAAGTAATTCTACAAAACATGCACATTGTGAGCATTTATGGTCAAGTTTACATTAAGGGAAATGTTGTTTAAAAATGTAATAAATTTAGAATTTTTAGTTGCACTACTGATAAGACACTGTATAATAAGTAAATTAGTGATCAAATGATTAACTATTTTAAAACTCGAATAAACTGTTAAACATAGCATCAGAAATATACATAAATCTAAAGACTGAATAAAACAATCATAACAATAATCTACATCAGAGATGAGAACAATAAGTTCACACTGACTGACTTTAAGAGCTGAAAACTAATAGGTGAACATCAATGGATAAAGGCCTAATAACGTATATGGTAATGTAATAAATACGTAACTGATATGACATAGAAATATAACAACACACTGACAGACAGTCTGACAATATCTCCATTGCCTCCGGGGGCGTAACTGGGGCTACTGCCATCCGGGACGGACAGAAACTTTTTCCTCCCCTTTCCCAAGAAAAAAAACTGGGCTGTTAGCCGAAAATGCCATCTCAAGAAAAAAGCGTCACACCAGCCCCCCTCCCACCCCCCAACCTTCCTACGCCAATGATTATCTCCAATTCCCGCTTTCCATTAACTTTGATGCCATGAAATGACGCATTAGTTAATTTAGTATAATTATCAGGTGAAGAAAACACAAAATGTGATAGAAAATGTAACAAGTTGGACCAGATGGTCTGTCCTAGACTGTCACCTAAGTTGACTGTCCGATAAAAAGTCACAAGTTGGACTAGATGGTATGTCATTGACAGTCATTCCAAAATTTTAAATAGGTCAACACTGTTATTTATAAAAAACAACAACACATAGCTCACATGAAATGTAAATATCATTCTCATTATTGTCATCGCTATAAATAGAACTGTTTATCTAAATAATGTCCTTAGTGAGTAATTTATATATATATCTATATGTTCAGCAGTGTTTACCAAACTTAATTTGAGTCATGCATGCACCTATAGGACTGCTTCGTACACGCTGTCCATCTGGACTGACGAACACAATTCATGATACCCGATATTTAAACCGAAAAAAAAGAGAGGAAAAACGGATTTGTTTCGTAGTTCAATGAAAATGTATATTTATGTTTTGTAAAGTTAACATTAAGAGTTTTACATAGTCTGTCTGAGGTGTGCCTTATGTACATAGCCTGTCTGATGTGTGCCTTATGTACATAGTCTGTCTGAGGTGCGCCTTATGTACATATTCTGTCTGAGGTGTGCCTTATGTACATATTCTGTCTGAGATGTGCCGTATGTACATAGTCTCTCTGAGATATGCATTATGTACATAGTCTGCTTTGAGATGTACATCATGTACATAGTCTGTTGGAAATGTGCATTATGTACATAGTCTGTTTGAGATGTGCATTATGTACATAGTCTTAGATTTGCACTATTTGCAGAGCCTGTCTGAGATGTGCCTCATGTACATAGTCTGTCTCAGATGTGTATCATGTGCCTGTCTGAGATGTGGATTATGTACATAAATGATGACGGATTAACTCAATCAAATTAAAAAGTAGACTCTTTTTTTTATTGACTTGAGCATACAAATGTTTAATCAATTTTATTGTGGCAAGGTTCGATTTTTTTTTCTTGACTTGAATTTATAATTCACTGGTCACGCACTTTTGTGTTCGTGAGGCGATGGTGTGGTTTATTTCATTGGCACCTACACAAATTATTCTATTGTATATTAAGTATGGCTGTAAGGAAAACCTCGATACTAGCAGTAGCAGGTGTGGTTTCACGTTTAGATGATTTACCCATTGGTTCCCAGCCGCTGCTACGTGGAGCCCTATGGGTTTAGCACACAGTTCTCAGGGGCCCCATGGCCCTTCCAGGAAATAAGACAAAACCATTCACTTTTAAGACAGAGTGGACAAAAAGGGCTCTTCCTCCCACTCTCTCTCTCTCTCTCTCTCTCTCTCTCTATATATATATATATATATATATATAATTGAANTATATATAATTGAAGGACTCCGTGAGTGGAATAGGTTAAAAACCACTGAATTGCTAAAGTACACTTTTTATACTCTTTTTATTAGGTTGTTCTATACTTTTAGTACATTTTGGACAAGTTTTTTTTTTAATTAAAAAAATGTTTTATCTTTTATACTTAATAATAATAATAATAAAGTTTATTTGAAAATCACGCTTCATCCCCAAAGGCTCGAAGAACGGCAAAAAGTCAACCACAGTAAATAGAAATGAAAACATCTATATTTTACCACATTTAAATACAAAACGCAACATTACAAAAACTACATACGAGAAAACCCATTCTAATTAGTCTTTCATCCCTTGCAACCATAACCAACACAGGCCTATATACATCTATGAGATAATAGCTAGCTGGAAAAGTTGGTAGACAACATCACCCCAGCAGGTGTTTGCGAAATAGATGTGTTTTCAAATCGGTTTTGAAAGACTCCAGTGTCTGGCTCTTTCTGAGAGCGACAGGAAGTGTAGTCATAATTGTTGGGCCAGCAAATTCGAAAGTGCGCCTTCCGTAAGTCTCAAGGCGAATACGCGGTCTCGAGAGTTTACCACTCTCGGATGAGCGGAAATTTCTAGTGGGTACATACGTCTTCATGAGCGCTTTGAGAGAGGACGGTGCAAGGTCAAGCAAGCAGTGATAGCACAGAGTTGCAATTTTGTTCTCTATGCGAGCGCGGACCGGCAGCCAATGCAACTCTCTCAAAAGTGTTTTAGTAAAACAAGTACATTTCTTTTAAGTTTGCAATAAATCAAAAAAAAAAAAAGAACGATTACTCACCATCAATTCGGTAACTTGCTTCAAAGCCACTGGAGTTTTTAGCATTGCTCGTTCTCAGAACCACTTGGAGAGACGATTTCGTTGACATAACTATTGGCTCGAATGTCGTCCCACACATCTTAGCCAGAGGTCGAGAAGTGTCATTAGACCCATCAAATATTTGCACAAATTCGGCGCCACACGTTCGTGATGCGTCTCCCAAACTGAAGTTCAAGATCCTGGGGAAACACCAACAAGTTATTCTGTACATTAACACGCTACATAACGAATGATGGGATAGCATTATTACTCCCATATTAACTATCAATGAGTAGAAAGTGATCTAGAATTCTACTAATTATGGGAAATGATTTAATTACGAGACTTTCTATGTGATACTTTCACGAAGGAAAAAAAAAATACTATTTTCAGAGAGACAAGAGAATGATGGGTTGGCGCATATCATAACCACTTTTATGTTATTCATGGGCTGTCGTGGTTTGGCTGAGTAATCATGGATCGGATGACGTCACCTTGGATTGAGAGGAAAGAAAGTATTCAGAGTATGAGTATAAATTTTATTTTTTTAAGTCTAATTTATTGGGTCTGTTTTAATTAACCCAACTTAACTTACTGGATTCGAGTTTAGAAACAATAAACACGATTTTGGAACCAACCCATATTGGTTAAAAAAGGAGGCAACCTTGAGAAAGCTACTCTGTTTACAATAATTTGAACGTTGCCCATTCCGGTAAAACATCGGACAGTTCAAATTCTATTTAAGGCAGGGGTCTGTCTCAAACTCGCTGCCCGCGGGCCATTTGCGGCCCGCAAGACGATATTTTGATAGCATTTTGATTTTGATATATTATGACAGCAAAGTTTAGTGTTAATGCGGACCGGGCGTTTTTCCCATTCTAATATCTATAATGTGACTCTCCGCGACGGTTTCAGTCGAATCTCACCGACTAGTCTACGTCTGATTTTTATCACGTTTGTATCGATTGGGACGTTGATTATAATGGTAAAAACCGTTTCAAAACTGGAATAAAAGTTTTTATTTTATAGCATTTAATGAGACAAACATGGCGGCCAAAGTGCGGTTTGAGAAAAGATTTTAAATGTCAGTTGGCGGATAATGCACAACCATAATTGTGTCAATCATAGCAATCTGACACAGAATCTCTATTATAATTGCCGCTAGCGTTTTCAAGTGAGGGAAATTCCAAGCCTGTCAGCTTAGTCACTCTCCAATTAGGATTAGTAAAACAGACCACTTCTACGATAAAAAAAAATCAAAATTCTTTCTCCCTACAATGGCATCTTCCTTCGCATCAATAAGGCACATATATTGCCTGCTCCTGTATACTGTTTGAACACGTTTTAGCGTTTAAAGCTTTCTTGTAGAAGGATGGTGTTGTTGTTCCTGCACTAAGTGATCCAAAATGGCTCGTGGACTTGGTTTTTATTGTTGACATTTCACAGGAGCTTAATGTACTCAACAAGAAGTTACAAGATCAGGTCAAACTTGTCAGTATTACCTCTGACAATGTCAGAGCTTCTGCACAAAACTGATGTAATGGTTCTTAGCGAAACCTCTGCCATTTCCCAAAATGAAAAGTACTCATGGATTCATGAACACCAAGCAGTAGTGAGTATACTGATGCCATTGCATAGCTACAGGAAGAATTCGATCAAATGTTTGCCGACTACAAAACACACAGAGACACTTTTCAAATTTTTGCAGACCCTTTCTCCTTCAATTTGGAAGATGCCCCCCCTCCCTCTCCAAACTTGCTTCAAATGGAGCTGATTGAATTTCAGTGCACTTCTAAGTTTATGGAGTGAATGGGGAAACAGACGAGCATGGGCAATTAATGAGAACATTGCCCTCCACATTCACTGAGATTTCCAGGTTGCTCAATCGGATCATGCGCTTTTTGGGGAGAACCTAAGCGTTTGAAAAGCTATTTCCCCACTATGAAATTTAACAAGTCAAAGTTCAGGGTGAAACTTACTGATGAGCATCTTCAAGCTATACTGAGGGTCTCAGTCGCTTCCTCACTCAAGCCAAATGTTGCTCAGCTGTTTAAGAAGTAGCGCTGCCAGGTCTCTGGCAACAAGGAGTAGGAGGAAGAAAGTGAAGCCTGGTTCGTGAGAACCCTTAATGTTTTATTTTTTTTATTAACAAAGGTTGAGCAGATTGTAACAGTTGTACTTTATTGAATTTGTGATCGCTTTTTTTGTGGAATACTTGTTGTGGCCCAGTCTCACTCAGACTCTACCTCCTGCGGCCCCCGGATGATTTGAATGTGTTTTGAATTACCTTTCAAACACAGGTGCTTTGAATTACCTTTCAATACATGGTTGCTTTGAATTACCTTTCAAAACACATGTGCTTTGAATTACCTTTCTATGCACAGGTGCTTTGAATTACCCTTTAAAACACGGGTGCTTTGAATTACCTTTCAATACACAGATGCATTGAATTACCTTTCAATACACATGTGCTTTGAATTACCTTTCAATATACGAGTGCTTTGATTACCTTTCATTACACATGTGCTTTGAATTACCTTTTAATACACAGGTACTTTGAATTACCTTTCAATATACAGGTACTTTGAATTACCTTAATGTTACAAAAGTCCCATTCTTGCCTTCAATGTTCCATGAGAAATACGATGAAGTAGGATAAGTTCTCGGATAGCCAGGACTTGCAATGTAACCAAATGCAGAGTCTCGTACGATCATGTTGTTATCTTAAACAAACATTTAGGTTTCTCACATTCGATTTTTGTTTAAATCTATTTTGTAATCTTTACAATATGAGTGCATTAATAAATAAAAATATAATTGAATTTTGATTCCGCGTAGCTAATTAATTTTTTTTTTTTTTAAATAGTAAACTGTGATATCGTGTTTTGTATATGCCCCTGTTTCACGCTAGGAAAAATGCGAATTTTTCATACAATCCATATGTTGTAGAAAGTTTAAAATTCTTAAATTACATGTAAAGTTATTCAACAGATTAGACAGGAATCCCTAAAAAAAAAGATAATTAGCGGCCAATGAAATGTTATTATGGTAACAAAAATCTCAAAATTAACAATTCTACGGTAAAGCTGTGTCGTTTCGCTGATAAGAAAATGTAAACAGGATTGCTTCACATCGTTTGGGATATTTCAGCTTACCAAATCGTTGGTAAGATCCACTAAAACCTCTGAGGGCAACGGATCCATCTGTTTTAAAAACAATCTCCATGACGTTGGCTTGGGATGCAATAGTGTAGGGTCTGGTCGCGTTCCTTTTACACAACAATGCAAGCTGTGTTGACTCCATGACCCCGCTATACACGGCGAGTGAATCATAGGAACACCGGGAATTCTCTTCCAAATCCATATCTGAGATACTGAAATAAAGAAAAAAAACTATGACCAAACACCATTAGCCCTACTACCTAAAAGAAAATAATTTTAAAATGGAGTAAGAAAAAACCAGAGGCGTATCCATGAGTATGCTGTGCCCTTCATGTCCAGCGGATGTCACTGGAAAGGTTGTCTGTGCAAAGACGGTTGAAGAGGACACATTTTTAAACTTTTAAAGAAATATCTGTTTTTGCTATTGTTATTTTACTTGCAACCATTAAGCAACGATTATCTGTGTGCGCATTTATTTGAATACGTGATCTAAAGCTTCATTATAAAATTTTACAACCCTTAAAAACAAAGTTTTTCTGATAAATTCTTTATAAAATGTAATATTAAAGCAATGGCGGGTAGGACTGAAAATTGGACATTGCATGCGTACACATAAAGCCCTTTTCAAGAATCTCAATTAGCGCTTCCCCATATCCACAAGGATCGCAACCGCTTATTTTGTTGACGCCCCTGAACTAGAGATATTATATTCTAATGACCCACATACTTTTACACCTTAGATTTATGTCAGGAAAACAAAAAAAAATCATTACGCACCAAACACACTTGTATAAAAAAGAATCTCATTTAGCTCAGGTACAGGGAATTTTTATAACAGTGCTTTTGGGGTGGGGGTTGGGGGTGGGGCTGAATATATGAAAGAATGTGTTGTCGTGGGCAAGGAGTCTATGGGCCAAGTTTTAGCTCAATAGGTTGACGGGAGGTGGGTAAATTATCCCACTGAATAGTTCGCCAGCCAGCCACGAAAAAAAAAAGCGAATTTACTGTATACGATTTAAAAATAGGTTTCTCAAGCTTTGATAGGTCGCAACTTAAGCTTTTGCCTGGAGCGGCTCATGTCCTCGGTACGTCCTTGGATTCAGCGTCTTGCTGCTAAACTTCCTGCCTTTGATGATCTTTGTCTGTTCCAAACTTAATACGTAGACTTCAGAATTAGCTAGGTTTGCCTCATAGCGTGTGGTGTAATGTGAGCTTTGATTAGCTGATTATTGTATTAGTTCATGAACATACCTAAAAGAAATATTCACCCGAAGATAAAATATGTGTTTGGCGCACCAGTTAACGTCCACTTGCAGTAGAACAGGTTAGGATACTGCAACGGATAGTCATGGCTGACAATTGTCCCATTGACATCTTGAAATGTCGCATTGCAACCTTAAAATATATGGGATTAAGGTACTCAGTGGATTGTACACCGTTGAGAATACATTAAAAAATAAGAATTTTATTTTCCTTACAGAAGCACTTCACATTTAGACCTGTAGCTAAATGTGTTGAAACTTTTTGTCGACTTTTTTTTAAAAACATGCTTAAAAAAAGACCTACTTAAGACACAAGCAACTTTACAATTGTGGTAGTACGTGTTGGGAGGACAAAGACAACGGTCGTTATTGCAGTAGCTCGTGGTGCACTGAGACGAGACACTACAGCGGCCATCGTAGTCAACGCGTGAAGATGATGCTGAGCAAAACTGGTCGTCTGCTCCACGGACAATCTGTTTGGATTTTAATGAAATTAATTTAAACACTTATCTATAATTTTTACAACTGACTATTTGTTTCCCTTTAAGTTAATACATTTTTATATGAAAATTTAATTTAAATAAAGTCTATATT